TTTCTTTCTTTCTTTCTTTCTTTCTTTCTTTCTTTCTTTCTTTCTTTCTTTCGAATTATGGCCCCCAATATTTTTTCTTCCTTTCTTAGACATTCTTGCCATAGAGCATTTGCCTGACAGGAAGAGATGGAAAGAAAGCAAATACCCACTGGAGGATAGCCCAATCCCTTCTCCTCCGTTCTCCTCCCAGGAATTTGAATACACACCTGTATGCACCCAGCATGTTTCTTTCATTTTAAGAATGATTTTATTTAACTTTATTTATTCATTTATTTTAATTTGGCCAGAGAGGGGCAGAGTAAGAGAGAGAGGGAAAGTGAGAAAGCAAGCTACCAGGTCCAGGATTCGAATTGTATTTGGTCATGTTGGGGGTCCAGTGTCCTTAGCCACCATGCCACCTGCCAGCCCCAAGGCCCAGCATGTATCTTAAGCCGCCCCGTCTGGAACTCAAACCATAGTCAGCCATGTGGTGTCTGGCTGTCTTAGCCACCAGGCCACCGTCAGCTATTTGTTTGGGGATGTAAACTGTAAGAGATTATCACTCTTCACTCATCGGGCAGAATTCTGGCTCAGGTAAACTTCATGCTCATTGACTCTTTGTAACCCTGAGGTACAGTTTATATTAGGTCATTGGGAAAAATACATTATCACTTTCCCAAGTACCTAATAGTAAAAGCAGGACATACACATTTTTCCCCCTTATTTACTATTTTCCAAAACAATGAATCGGAACCCTAATGTCCTTCAAAGATAACCAATGAGTTGCTTTTCGCTTTCTTTTTATACATAAATTATTTAATTAATTAATTAATGTCTTGTGTTGTGTATACATATATATACATATACATATATATATGAAACTAAAAATGGAAAATTATTGATGATAACATATATGATTAAGTCACTATGCAGTGTATTCTGGATGGGAAACCACATTTTGTATGCTGTGAAGAATTATTTTATTTAACTTTATTTATTTATTTTCATTTGACCAGAGTGACAGAGAGAGAGCGAGAGACAGACAGAGAGAAAGTGTGAAAGCAAGCCCGCCAGTCCCGGGACTCGAACCATGGTCAACCATGTGGGGGTCCAGTGCCCTTTACCACCACGCAACTTGCCGGCCCCCCAGTGTTTGTTTACACAATGATTCTGTCATCAGAAAACAAAAATGATATGATTTCTTCATGTTGTCTATGTAAAAGAATTAAAAATAAAAATTATTTCAAAACTGCATAGCCTTTGGCCACATGTGTGAGGAGACTAGGATGCCACTTTCGCTCCATGACAGCCTCGGCTCTCCGGGCCATGAGCTCTGAGCAGACTCAACACTCATCCAGGGTGTCTGCTTGAGGGATGGAGAGGCCACAGTCCCTGAGCACCTGAACTATCAGCTTCTCTGTTTCCAGCCTTTGTTCTTCCAGGATCTCTTCAATGGAGACCTAGTATAGGAGTGCATCACTCCCCTTTCCAAGTCTGAATTGGTCAATGCTTCTTGGAAGCCCTATAAGTGTCCTTCCATCTTGAAGTAGAACCAAGTGCTTTTTTTTTTTTTTAGAGATTTTTGTAGGAGAGATGGAGACAGAGAAACAGAAAACGAGAAATCACCCCCCCCCCAGGGTGTAGCCATACAGTAATCCCTTCTCCTCCAGTCTCCTTTTGGGCACACACACACATGTGCACACTCAATGTGAATTTTAAACCACTAGATCTGGGACCCAAACTGTAGTCGACTACGTGGGAGTCCAGTGACAGAACCATTATACCATCTGCTGGTCCCAGACCCAGCTTCTCTTCACCTTTGCTGTACCACTGCACCATGATGTGGGCCTCCTCAAGGTGTCATTATGAACAACTGAACTTAAACATATTTGGTATGTTTCAACCTACAGAATTTCACTGATTGCTTTTGATTGTTAGCCCATCTCATCTGTGGCCACTGAGAGTCTCTTTGGCACTAGTTCCTGAACCCCTCTGACAAGACCTAATAGCCTTCCAGAGCTTTGTTACTTTCTGGTGTGACAAGATATTCTACAATTGTCTAGGGACCAGCAGTTGGCGTAATGGCTATGTCGCTGGACTCCCATGTAGTCAACTTTGGTTCGAGTCCCAGACCCGGTGGCTTAAACTCACGCTAGGCGTGTGTGCGTGCTTGCCTAAGATCCCGAGAGGAGAATGGAGAAGGGATTGCAGTGTGGCCATCACCCCTGGGGAGTGATTTCTCGTTTTCTGTCTCTCTTTCTGGTGAGCACACATGCCCTATACCAAGAACCTCTCCAAAAAACAAACAAACAAACAAACAAACTATAGGGCCTTTGTGCTCACCAGAGAGACAGAGACTGGGGGTGGTGGAGGTGAGAAATCACCTCTAGGGGGGGACAGCCACATTGTACTTCCTTCTCCAGTTTCCTCTTGGGATTTTGGGCACATACACACATACACTTGGAATGAGTTTCAAACTGCCAGGTCTGGGACTCGAACCACAGTTAGCCATGTGGTAGTCCAGCACCTTAACCACCATGCCACCTGCTGGCCCCATATACCTCTGTTGTTAAGCGAGCCAGGACTCTACTATTCAATCTAGGATATATGAAATACTTGATAAATTTGTCTTGAAAAGACATGATATACTGGATGATCAACAAAAGAATTATAAAATTTAAAATAAGTGTATTAAGATAAAAATCATGTGGGAAACATGGACTGTCAATTATGACCATAAATACCATAAGTAATGGGTAACTACTGACTGCATTTGTCTTATGTGAAACACAGGAATAGATAGGGCTTTACAGAAGCACATTATTTTTACATTACATTTAGCACCTCCCCCCTTTCCCCTTTTGCGAGATGGTACATTTGCATGACAAAAACTGAGAGAGGGAAAGGGAAAGCCAAAAAGACTCCTTCACCATGGGGCATGGTCACATCACAGTCCCCTCTCCTCCATCTCTCCCTCCCTCTGAGATTTTGGGCACACACACACACGAGTCCAGAGTGTGTTTCAGGTCACTGGGTACAGGATTTGAACCACATGGTCAGCCATGTGGGATCTAGCACCTTAACAACTATGCCACCAACGGGTCCAACTGTACAACAATCTTGAGTGTTAAAAATTCTTACTCATATTTTATAGGTAAGTTCTTGAAGCTCAGAAAGGTTAAATAACTTATCCTAGAATACTTAAGTGAGTCCTGGCAGACTTTCATTTGCTGGAGAGAAAGGAAGTAGTGAAATCTATCACAAGAAAATGTTAAGTCTGGCAATCTTTAAAAACAAACAACAAACTCATGACATTTAGGTCCTTTTCAGTTTTGTGCAGTGTTGGCAGCTTGGGCTCTGGGGTTGGATAAAGCCTGTGACAGACAGAAACCAGGTGCACTATGGCTGACCTAGCACCTAATATGGGTCTCTAAACCACCAAGTCTCAATATCCTTACTTCAATATGGGGATGATAACAGTATTCACCTCCTACTGGTGCCGGAGGAGGAACTGAGATGACATACACTAACAGACAGCATGATGCCCGGCATAGTGAGCTCAGTAAAAATTACTCCCAGTGCCTCAGGCTATGTTTGCACGAGGTTACCCATACTACCAGTGAGTTTGTTAGGATAAATTCTTAGGAGTCTACTGAAAAACCAAGACTACATAACCATTTAAAGAGTACTTACAGTCTTCCACCGACATCGAACTCAGTTTTTAACAGAGAAGGAGCTCACCTTTTGGGTCGAGGGAGGCCCATGGGGGTAAGATTAGGGTCTGGCTTAGGAATGGTTTTCCGGATGCGAATCTGTGAGACTTTCTTTGGCCTCTTCTCTGGGTCAGCCTATTTTTAAGAGTTAAGATAACAGATGGTCAACTTGTAAGACATTTTAAGTACACCAAGCCCTTTTTTGACATACGGGAGATTGGTTGTCCACATCATAGATGATTCTAACCTGTAGTTTATGACAAAGCTTCCCCTCCTACCCTCCTGTGTTTTCAGCAACTACCACTTCGTATTATTAAAACAGAATGACATAGGCAATTTAAATATGGAGATCACTGATAGGAAAGTCAGCAACTATTCGGGACAGCAGACATGGTAAAACAGAAGAACACCATCACTCGTGTATCTTCTTTACAGGATTGGGCAAATTTTCTAAACACTGTTCAATTCTATCACTAGAAAAAAAAGTATTTAGAAACCATGCAGATTACGGAATCTATTGGCCAAACAGAAAAACTCCTGGCTTAGCATCGTCTAGAATGCCCCTGAAGCTAAAGGTAGCATGTAGACACTCAGGTCGTCTATACTCTCACGTGAGTTGACAGTGGACATCTCCAATGCCACGGTGGCCTGATCCTGAAGCACATCATGCTTACCTCTTTCTGTTTAGGAGGGGTGCTCTGAGGTCGGGGACATGCTGCTGTCACACTATCCAGTTCATCAAACCCAGGAACTTGGAACTCAGAGGCTGAAAGCAGGAGCTTGCCAACTGCTGGGTCTGTTACCAAGCAAGACTTTGGTACCAAGGCAGGGAATGGAGGCTCTAACCTAGCACCATGGAGAGAAAGAAAGAAGAAAAATATGAGAAGGATTCTACCTCTGGCACGTTCAACTTCTGAACATCCAGACTAGAGATGATTTTCCTTCTTTCTAGAGATGACATTTCCCATTACCCTGTTCTCTGGTTCTTTCTGGACACAGCCTATGTCTACACATGTAAAAAAGTATGAGAATATAGGGCTGGTGGGTGATATGGTAGTTGAGGCACTGGACTCCCACACTCCAACTATAGCTCAAGTCCCAGACTCAGTGGCCCAAAAATGACAACAGCAAATAAATAGGTAAATAAATCGGTCAGTACAGAGGGGCCGGCAGGAGGCATGGTGGTTGAAGCAACTGGACACTCCCACGTGGCTAACCACAGTTCGAGTCCTGGACCTGGTGGCTTGTTTTCTCATTTTCCCTCTCTCTCTGTGTGTCTCTCTCTGGTCAAACTAAAATAAATAAATGAACAAATAAAATCAAATAAAAAATTATTTTTTAAAAGGTAAACAAATAAATAAATAAATAATTTTAAACAAATTCTAAGAATGTGATCAATTCAGCTCATTGGCACAGAATACTTTCATAAGGAAAAACCTAAAAAGGAACAGTTTATTTTGGAGAAAGAAGACATTTATCAATAGTTACTGTGCAAACGAATAGTGCTCAGATGTGATTGATCCCTTCCAGGTACTGAAGCTGGCTAAATTCCAAGATATAAAATAGCTTGAGAGGGTTTTTGTTTATTTATTTTCAAATGGGGCATGTGTGCTTGGCAAAGAGAGAGAGGGAGGGAGAGGGACGAAAGTGAGAAATCACCCCCAAGGGAGCCGGCCATGCCACAATCCCTCATTTTCCACTTTCCTCAAGCTGCCAGGTTCAGTACTCAAACTGCAACCTCCACGCCACCTACTGGCTTGAGAGAGGAATTTTGATACAATAAGCTGGCTCGTGATTTTCCTTAAAATTAAAAAAAAAAGATATTGATTACACGTCCCTAACCACTCCTATAACAGAACGCATTTGAATCTCAGAGATAATTATTTGAGAGATGGTAGATTAGGTTTACACAGACAAGAGGCCAGAGTCATGTGTGCTTTACCCACACCATCCACGCGTTCGTGCTCACTCATAATCAATCTCGCTCTCACACACAGGCGCGCGTGCACATGCGCGTGTGCGCGCACACACACACAGATTCAAGTGCCTGGGTGCCAACTGCCACTGGAAACTTACCTCAGCTGACTGCCACTGGCATAAGTAGCTCCCATGCCTGGAAGAGGCACATACGGTAACATGGTGTTGCTGAAGTAAAGCACAAGAACAAAAGTAGCGGGTGAGGGCAGTGGGACAGCAGGGAGACTGATGCTATGGGGGGTATTGGCACATGACGTCAATTAGAGCCCTGGGAAGACAAGGGACGCCTGTCACCCACAAAGATGAAAACCTCCCAAGCAGGAGAATTACACTTATGTGCCAGCAGCTGGGACAGACACAGGCTCACCAGGGGATTTCCTAACTTAAATGGAAAGAGGATAGAAGGAGAAATAAAGAGAGGACAGGCAGACAAAGGAAGAGAGCAGAAATGACTGTGAGGGGTCCGGGAGGTGGTGTGGTGCTTGGGTGCTGTACTCCCACATGGCCAACTCGGTTAAAGTCTTGGACCCTGGGGTGGGCTGGCTGGCTTCCTTCCTTCTTCTTTCTCTCTTCCCCCCTGCCTCCTCCCATCTCTGGGAGCATATGTGCCCTACGGCAAATAATAATAATAATAAATAAAATAAAATAAATAATTATTTTTAAAAAAGGTGGGGTGGGAAGGAACCAGCAGATGGCATAACAAGTATATCATTGGACTCCAATATAGTCAACCACGGTACAAGCCCTGGATCTGGTGACTTGTTTTCTCACTTTCTCTCTCTCTCTCTCTCTAGTGGTTATATACCCTCAAGTCCTGGACCAGACAACTCGAAAAACATGGTGTGTGTGTGCGTGTGTGATGTGTGCCCAAAATCCAGAGAGGAGAATGGAGAAGAAGGGACTACAGCATTGTCATCCCTCTGGAAGGTGATTTTTCAATCTTCTCTCTCTGAAGAGTGCACTTGCCCTACAGCAAAACTGAAAGAAAAAAAAAAAAAAAAGAAAGAAAGAAAAAGAAAAAGGAAGGCAAAAATAATGTCTATCCGATATGTATTATAGAGTACTGGAGAATAAGGTTCAAATGAGGAAACTTTATGGCAACATAAATTAGTTTAATCTTTGTTGTGTTTACTGGGGCTACCTGATTTGCCTTGCTGGAAAGAATTTCTAAGTATGTTTAGAAAAACAAGCCTCTAAACTGAGTCCAGGCACAAGATGTCAAAGCCATTTTAGAGCCAGAGAGAAGAAATACTCCCTACGATCACCATCGATGCACCCTACAGTGGAATGAATGAATGAATGAATGAATGAATCTATCTACCTACCTACCTACCTATCTACTAACTTACTTACTTACGTTATAGGGCACATGTGCTCACTAGAGAGAGACAGAATGAGGGAAAGTGAGAAATCACCCCTGCAGGGGAGATGGCCATGCCACAACCCTTTCTCCATTTTCCTCTTGGGATTTTGGGCATGCAAATACACATGCCTGGAGTGTTTTTCAGACCACCAGGTCTAGGACTGGAACCTGCAGAGCTGGCAATGTAGGAACGAGGGCCTTAACCACTACACTACCTGCTGGCCCTATAATGGAATTTAAGTAAACTAAAAAGCTAACTATAGGAACTCAGAAAAAACAGCCCATATTAAGAAAACAAAAAACTTGATTGAAGATACAAAAGCACCAAAGGGTTGCACTTTTACAGGGTGAAATGAATAACTACCCTCCACAGTAAGCCTTAGGAATAAACAAAAGTTTAAAAAAGGTAACGTGACTGAAAGCTGTGTACCATGAACACACAGCAGAGAGGAACTGTGAGATCTCAGAGGCGTCCGAGCAAACGAGACCAAAAAATCAGCACGTCATCATTTTAGATAATGATTCGTGGGGCCAGCAGGTGGCATTGTGGTTAAGAGCGCTGGGTCCTCACATGGACAATCGTGGTTCAAGCCCTGGACCTGGCGGTTTGCTTTCTTGCTTTCCTTTTCTCTGGTCAAATTAAAACAACAACAACAACAACAATAATAATAATAATAAATAGGATTAAATAATTCTCTTAGAATTATTTATTACTGCCAGCCCCAAATAAGTAATTCTTTTTTCTCAAAAAATTATTTGTGTTTATTCATTTTTTTCTTTTAATTTGACTAGAGACAGACAGAGAGAGAGGGAAAGTGAGAAAGCAAGCCACCAGGTCCAGAACTTGAACCATAGTCGGCTATGTGGCAATGTCTAGCACCTAACCACCATACCACCTGCTGGTCCCAAATAAATCTTTTTTTTAAAAAAAAAGAAAAGATGATTCACTCTAATGTACTTTTCTGGCTGCATTGCAAGATGTGAACATTTTTCTCTATTAAAGATAGGATACGTAAAAATAACTAAAAACTAAACTAAACTAAAATAAAAAGGTAGGATATGTAGGACCAGCAGATGGTGTAATAGTTACATCACTGGAGTCCTACAGAGTTGACCGCAGTTTGAGTCCCAGACCAAGTGGCTTAAAGCTCATGCCAGGTGCATGTGAGTGGGTGCCCAAGATCCCAAGAGGAGAATGAAGGAGAAGGGACGGCAGCATGGCCACTCCCTTGGGGGTGATTTCTCAATTTCTGTTTCTCTCTCTCTGGTGAATGCTCATGCCCTATTACAAAAATCTTCCCCCCCCCCAAAAAAAAAAGATACCTACTTACAAAAGTAATCCATCTTTCAATTTCAATCTAAAAACACCCTGGACTCTTCTTTTCAAAACCCTTTTGTTTGGTTCTCTGCTAAGATGTTCAGGAAGTACACAATATGTACCAGTAGCTTTTTAATTATTCTGCATGACAGACTGCTCAGATACACAGAAAGCAAAACTCCTCCCAGGCTATTTGGAATACTAAGGCTTTTCCCCCCTTGCTGTTTAATTTTTCAACTATAACAATGGTAAAGGCAAAACTTTAAAAATCTAACTTTTTGTTTATCCATAAAGTTATAACTAAGAAGATTTATCTATTATGTCTAAAGTAACTCGTCAGGGATTTTTTTTTTTGTTTTAATTAGCTAGAGAGAGACAGAGGGAGACAGGTAAAAAGTGAGAACTCCTCGCTCATGGGAGAGAGCCATGCCACAATCCCTTCTCTGTTTTTCTTCTCAGGATTTTGGCAACCCACACACACGCACCCAGCATGTATTTCAAGCTGCCAGGTCTGGGACTCAACCTGCACAGTTTGGCCATGTGGCCCCTAGCTGGCCCTAGAGATGTTTAAGATGGGTAGCTTAACCTTGAAATTCTTTTCTTTTTCTTACTTTCAGCTGGAAGTTACCATAATACTAATGAAACTATCTTCAAATATTCTCAGTGGCTTAACTATAGGAACTCTTTCCTAGTTCACTTCCAATTCCACAAATTCACTTTAAATTCCACAAATCCTAAAACTATTGTACACATGTGCCAATATTTGAAGCCTCTACACTGCAGAAAGAAATGCAGAGGTTCATTAGATTTGGTGATACCTACATAATTTGTTCACTCGCTTAAAAAATATTTGTTTTCAGTGGCACTGCAGTGACCTGACGCTCTGCAGTGCTAGAAGCCAGATGGATGACTGAGGTCTGGCTCCTGGGTGACTGGCACATGTGGTGACCAGTGCACATGTGTCCATGATGGCGGCTGACTGGGCAGGCTGTGGGGGAGGATCATGGCGTGAGACTCTGTTGAAGATGCTTGTCTCACTCTCTCTGATTTCTCTTTTATGAAAGAAGTAAATAAACTGGAAAAGAAAAAGCATTTATTTTGTAACCTTTACACACTTTTGCCTAACACTGACTTAATTGGCTACATAGCACTTTGTGAACAAGATATAATCGCAGGCCATTATCTGTCACTATAGTCTTTTGCTTGTAATGACATTTAATCTTTGCAAGTGGGGGCAAGAGGCGAGAGACTTGATGGCTTGAAGGATGAAATGAACAGAAAAAGCAATGGCACAAAATACAGGACTAGATCCTACAGGGAAATTAGGGGTAGAGATGGGGTCCACACTTTAGAATAACTGTTGCATTTTCTCAGCAAAGATTTGGCAAGATAAACAGAAAATGCAGACATAAAGAGGGCTCCAAATAGCCTTGTCAATACTGCCCCTCTCCTCTCCCCAGGGACAAGAAGCAAACTAGGGGCATTTGCAGAAGAATGGGGGACAGGTTTTACCTGCTTGTGGTGCCCAGACTTGCCGGCAGCTTGCTCTGAGTGGAATGAAGAGCAGAGATTTCGAAGGAGTAGGCAGAAGGCCCATGCTGGCTCCAAATGGACAGCACCCTGCCCACCGAGTAGGGCAGAGAACAGAAGACCTTGTCGGCGATGGAGGCAGGAGACCTTAACCCTTTCAAGCCCTGTGCAAACTGAGTCATGAGGAGCCTCTGCAGGGTAGGCATGTGACTGGAGAAGCTCCGTTTTTTTGTCCAGATTCGGTAACATCCCGGGGAACAAAGTGCTAGAAGCGTGTGAAGGCCAAGGGCAGAGCAGTCAGCTCTGGTCTGGACTATGGCAGTGCCTCCGAAGTCATGGAGAGGAGCTGGAGGCTGTGGAGGAGTCTGAGTGTGTGCCTGACTGTGGAGGCCAGAGTCTTCCCTGAACGTGGCCATCCCAGGGCAACCATGGGTCAGGAAGAAAGAAAAGGTCCACTTGGGAGGTTGAGAAGGGCACTGGGGGGCCTCTCCTAAGGCAAGCCTGGCGGGAGCGCAATGCTCAGGAAAAGTCCTTGAGGGCTCCGCCACACACTCTGAGCCCGACTTCACGTGGAAGGATATGGGGAAGACTTCAGAACCAAACAGCAGTGACGGCATCTTGTTGCTCAAATCTACGAAGCTCATTTTGATGGCTTCGAGAGAATAAAGTGCCAAGGGCTTACTGTGAGGCCTCTTATCCCATCCACTAGCTGCCAAATACGGATCCAGCTGCATTGTGTTGTATGAAAAGCCATCCAGGAGCCTTTTATATCTGAGGCGCTTATAGCTTCTAGCCATGGGAAGGAGTTCGGAGGAACACCGCCGATACCGAAGTTTCGGGGTCTTAGCGGCTGGGGCTAGTTTGGAGGCGAGGATAGACAGCTTGTTTAGTAAGGCTAATTCTTTGGTAGGCTTTCTAAAACTCAGGCTCCTCAAGGGGTGGCATGGAGTAGCCTTCTGCTTTGGTATGTGACTTATCAAGCTCCTGGTGGCTGCTGCTTGGGGTTCCAATGGCGTGGGTGCAGATGCAGCACGTGAACTCAGAAGTCTATGCGCTTTTGTGGGGATGAGACTGGAGGGACTCTTTAGAGAGGCAGAACAACCTCTGACTTTACTTATTTTTCTCCCCAGACTCACTGGCTCCTGACACAAAACTTTCTTACATGTTCGATGGGGCTGCTTCTTCAAGGGGAAAATTCTTTTCTGATGTGAAGTGTTCACAAAGGCACCGTGTATTTGACCATTCTCAGCAAAGTTGGGGTCTTGTGCTTTCCAGGGGGTGCCAGGAAGGCAAGGGCCTGTGTACAACTCAATGTTTTTCTTTAACGAATGACATAAGCGTTCATCCTCCGGGTCTTTCAACCTCTGAAACCGTGCAGCAACGTCACCTTTGGCCAGATCTGCCCGAGTGATGTCTTTTACTGTGGCAGACTCATCTTTGTCAACCTTAGGTGGACTCCTGTTTTGTGTCTCCTGTGACAACTTATTAGATGATGTGCATTGTTCCAATATACGTGCTTCTTTTTGATGTCTAACTTTCTCTTCCTTCTGCAACCAGTAATCCAAATCCCTCTGGCCTGGTTCTTTTTTGGTGTCACCAAGCACTTTCTGGCGTCTAAGGTGGGTCTGAGAAATCTCACCCGTATGATCATCACCATCATCTCTGGTAACCATCTCTTCAGATACCTGCCCAACAGTTAAGTGACTCAGTGGGCCCCTCAGGTGTCCTTCAGTTTCTTCTCCTTTCTCTTTAGTTTCTGTTTCCATTGTCACAGGTAAATGTCTATGCGTGGAATTCTCATGAGGATGACAAGCTTCGCAAGCGTTCTTTTCCACACTGATGTATACACTGCCTCCTTCACTAGGATTACTCATATCCCTCGATACACTTTCCTTCATTTCAGGCAGGTCTGGGCAGTGCTTTATATGCTCACCAAGCATTTCGCCACCTTCTGGTTTAAGAAGACTTTCCAGGTCAGTGTCTTCACTATTCCTATTGGTTTCCAAATTGTCTTGAGATGATAGACAAGAAGGCGTGGCCTCAATGGATTCAAGGCTTCCTAGGGGAACAGAGTTCTCATCTGGGCATCTAGAAGACACCAACTCTTTTGAGGAAGTTCCAAAGGTAGTTTCCTTGCCAAACTCAGAATTAAATTCCAGTCTCGATCCTCCAGTCACTCCTTGTGTTTCGCTCAGAGATGCCCCTTTACCTTGGTGTTCATGATTAATATAATGTAAAGACACATCTACTCTATCTGATATTCCTGTATTTAGTTCATGATCTGCCATGGACTCTATCTCATCGGCACAAGAGTCTGGACAAGCTTCCATGTCACAATTTCTTAAAGATCTACATACTTTCTCTTTACATGATTGGTTTATTTCATGGGATTCCACTGTAGAAGCAGCAGCATCTGGGAAGCGTGAGTCCTGGTCAGCTATTTCTATAAACGCAGCATTTGGTTCTCCTTTCTGAGACAAGGTACTCCTTGAGGTTTCCTGGGATGCCAGGCTATGTAGTCCTGTACCACTAAGAAGTGTACCAGGTGCTTTCACACCCAGCATGCCTTCTATAGATGTACGGCTGGCATCTGTGCAGACAATATCTACCATACCATCTGTAGACACTTCACAACCAGAATTACTTTCAAAGGCTCCTTTTAAATGGCCTTTCTCTGGACTACCACAAGACAATGGGTCATCACTGCATGAACTGATCAGCAGATCCTTTTGGTTGTGGTCCACCTCTCTGTTAGGCTCTGGGACAGTATCTCTCTGGTCCTTAGATGGCTGAACTTCGCTATTGCCTTCACATTCATCTGGTCTGTGCTGCTTACTCTGGCAGCAGAGGACTCCATCTGCCTTCTGATCAAGAGTTTCCATTGCTTGGTTCACGTTTTTAAAACTGGAGAACATACTGGCAGGAGACTGGTCCAACAATCTGTCGGGATTTGGAATGTTTGTGGACTGGTTTAGTTCTTGTGCAGCATAATCAGAGACGTTAGATTTACAAAGTACAGTTTCTTTGGGTATATTCGGTTCCTTTCCTTCTAGCCCTTTCTCACAGGGTTTGATGTGGCTGGGGGCGTGAATGGTTTTGTTGACCGCTCCACTATTTAACATCCCTGCTGTCATTTCATTTCTGAACTTATCTCCCGGAAGGCGACCTTCAGTTTCTCCCCCAAGCTCACTTTCCTCGGTACAACTCACTTGAGGGCTGTTCCTTTCCATGGTGCCTTCTGTTTCTTGAGAATGCTGACTGCTGTGCTGAAATTCACTTTCACATTTTGTTGTCAAGGAGTTATCAACTTTCAGGATTATTTTGTTGGGCTCACAAGTAGCATAATCAGAACGCGTGTTCCCTTCCGGTACATTTTTTCTTACACAGGGACTGCTAGAGACATCCTGAGACTGAACATTCTGACATTCTGTGACAGAGACCTCTTGAGGAAAATCACCTGCTTCTTTCTTAGTTGAGAGAAACCTGGAATGTAGATCTTCTGTTCCTGAAGTAGCCGTTTCTCCATTTGTTTCTAGGCTTCCTGGGTTGATGTTTAAGGTGGAATTGTTTGAAGAGGCACCACAGGCTTGATCACCTGGAAGAGAGATGTCTTCCATTTCTGCCCTAATGGGAATGGTGCGGGCATCAACGACGACATCTGCTCCAGCCTCTAACGTAGGGCGATGGCTCTGCTCGCTATCTTTGCTTGTTGCTAAAGGCATTTCTTTCTTTATATTTAGTAGGGAGTCGATTGGCAACTTCAGTTGGTCATGGGGATTAAGGGGCACTTGTTGATATAAAACACATTCACTTTCTACTTTATTTATAACCAGTTCAGTGGTACAGAAAGGTTTATTCACCTCATAGGTAATGCTCTGTTCATCTAAACGTGGAATATCATCACATGAAGTCTGTATAGTTTTTTCGGATTCAGGTTTGTCATCAAATTCTAGGGATGGTGGTAATCGAGCACTGTCTTTACTGGGGTTTGATACCTCATTTACTGGAGTTAGCTGATCCTCTGTCATTACCCTTACAGAAGAGTTTCTTTCAAACAAAAAATTATTACATGATTCTTTATTCAACTGGGGGTTGCCTTCCAGATTTCTCTGGTTGCTGACTAAGGAGTCGGGGTCTTTACTGCAAACTTTTTCACTTAAATCAGGCTCTACTGCGGCTGCCTGTTCTGGCTCTTTGATCTGTGTCAAGGAGGAACAATTGCTTTCTTCAGAGTGTCGGCCTCGATGGCTTGTATCGGTCAAAGTTTCTCTGTGGTCCACAGGATTTGTCAAATTACCTTGAGTGTCTAAAGTGATTTTCAAATCATTTTTTTTAAACATTATGTCCGTTGCTTCAGTGAAAGAAATGGGCACTAAAGAACTAGAACTCTCTGTATGGATACTGTCTTGAATGCAATGGTTACCATAGACAGTTTCTTTCGGGGAATCAACAATGTCTTTTTCACCAAAACAATGATCACTGGCATCATTTTCTGGTTGCCTGGCACTAGTAAGAGAGAGTTCCCTTGGATTTAAAAACTGGTCTTCATTTTCTTCTCTAGAAGCCAAAATCTTGCTTTGATCGTTCCCATTAAAATAGGAATTGTCTGTCTTTTCAGCAGATCTCGTCAGTAAATCATCACCTTCAAAACCACATTTTTCTAACAATGTTCTGGATTCTGAATCTGACAAACTTGATGGAAAACAAGAAACTTCAGAATTTTCTCCCAAGGGTTCTACAGCAACTACACTTCTTATGGCTGTATCCTGTGCAGAACTGTGTTTTTCATGATGGTGGCCAAGAATCTGTGGATGATTGTCATCTGCTTCACAGACAAGGTTTAATTTACACAACTCCTCCTTCCCACTGTCCACTTTGGAAATGGCACTGTTCCCTGGTAATAATGACAACCAAGAAGGACAAGTTTTTAATTCTTCACATTCTTTTTCTTTAGGAGTTGCTTCTGTTAATCCAGGGTCCACAAAGATTAAAGGCTCTAGGGAAACTAACGTGCTGGTTTCTGAAACCTCACCACTGGTCATGATTCTGCCTACTTCTGGGTGTTCGCTGCACCCAGCCGAGAGACCTTTACTCACATGGCCATTCTTGTGTCCTTCATTATTATCCGTCTTAGTCCCAATGACCTTCATACCTTGTACGTCTTCAGAGGATTTTAGCAGAGTTTCAGCTGTAATCTGTACATTTCCTTCTGCGCAAGAGAAATATATCCAAGTTAGTGTGCAATCATTTAAAAAAATTTCCTCTACCTTCATAAATTTCAAAAACATCTGTTAGAAGGCAAACGCACTTACTAGAAAAAGACTAGAGACAGAGAGCGATAGGGAAGGTGTGAAAGCACCCCTGTGGGGGATGGTCACACTGCCATTCCTTCTCCGTTTCTCCTTTCCAGATTTTAGACACACGGCACACATACTGTGTTTTTCAGGCTATCTGGTCTAGGACTGAACTGCTGCACAGCCAGCCACCTTAATCACCATGCCACAGGCTAGTCCTACTGTCATGAATTTTATCATGCAACCAAAGGCAACAACAGAAAAGCGCTAACTCAGAAAAAAATTTCAAAATTGGTTCACTAAACTATCAATTAGTAAAATATGACCAAGAGGCAAAGATGGCAGAAACAGGTAATTTTGGACAAATGCTTTTCTCTTGCTTTTTTTTTGGAGAGAGAGTTTTGCTGTAGGGTATGTGTGGTTGCTGGAGAGACAGAGAGAGAGAAAGTGAGAAATCACCCCCACCTCAGGGGCATTGGCCACACCACAACCCCTTCTCCTCCATTCTTCTCTCAGGATCTCGGCCTCGCATGCACAAAGGCCTCCAGTGAGTTTAAGCCAGGTCCGGGACTCAAACTGCAGTTGACTATATGGAAGCAATGAAACCATTACACTTATCTGCTGGTCCTGACAAATGCCTTCTCTAAATGTTACTTAGTATTCGGAGGTCAACGTTGGATAGCTCAATACAAAACAAAGACAAACACTTCATTCAGAGTCTTTTTTGTTTATTAAATAATTATTTTATTTATTTTTAATTTGACCAGAGAGGGACAGAGTGAGAGAAAGGGAAAGTGAGAAAGCAAGCTGCCAGGTCTGGGACTCAAACCGCGGTCAGCCATAACTAGGCTAGAAATGGCACTTAAAAATATTTAACGTCAGCACATATTAAATAAATAAAAGTAGTGGATAACTGTGCACTGGATTGCACAGATTCCAATCACTGACAAAAGGCAGCCTTTTTCACCCCAGTTCACTGCACAGTATTTATCACGGTGCAACTAGTTTACTTTCCACGTCACAGCAGACAATGCCACCCTAGTCATGACTTTCTAAGCAGGAGAACTCCAAGAGGTATTATTTCTCTCTACTGCATGCTACAGCACCCATTAAACTGTGTGCATTCTGGACTTGCCTTCGGTTCCAGCATCCAGCAGTATCCTAGCTGTGGCCCTCATGATACCTACTCAGGCTAAACCTTTTCAGCTGTTTGCTGTGGTCTCCTCTGTGCAAGGCATTTCAGGTCTCCTGAACCCCTACCTGCTGGAAGAATCCCCGATCTCTACTTACTCAAGACTCTCAGGGAAGAGGCAGTGAAGCAGCCACTTCCCAGGTAGTGGAGCAGATGAAGGGCTATTTATGGCTGGAAAGAAAAACAATACTCTGCCCATTCTTTTGACTTTTCTTGTTTATTTGTTTTTTATTGCCAGAGGCCGCATGGACTTACCAGTGAGACAGAGGGAGAAGCACCACACACGCCTGAGGGGGTGTGGTCAAGTCACGATACCATTTCCATTCTCCATCTTGCCAGGATTCGGGGCACACATGCACATGTGCCCAGCATGTTTTTTTCAAGTTACTGGGGCTGAAACCTGAACCATGGTCAGACATGTGGGATTCCGCTCCCTTAACCACGAAGCTACAGGGCTGGTCTCTGACTTATTTTTAATCACATTTGAGATTTCAAAGAACATTTTTTTAAAATTTGGCACTTGTGCTTGCCAGAGAGACAGGGAGAGACATGACAACTCCCCCTGAGGCGTTCCCAATCTCCTTTTGGGATTCTGGGCATGCATGCACATGTGCTTCGTGTGCTTCTTAAGCCCCCCTAGCCATGAGTTAGCCCTCAAAGAACTTTAATGGAGAGTCTGAGGCTATTTTATTTTTGTTAGAAAGTGTTTCAAAAGCTGTCGAACAGTGACCTGGTCTTCATGGACAACAGGGAGAATAAAGATGGCACATACTGCATGATTATTGTCAAGACTGGAGGAGTTAACGCAGGGACAGCTGGGAGAAGTGCTAGAGGATCCATGCTCAGTTCATGCAGCCTCTTTACTGCCGCCGTGGGCCGGCTCCCTTGCACTACAGCTCCACCTGAACTTCTGTAACACCGTTTCTCTGTTATTTGCTTACTATGTCCCCTGTCAGACATGGGAGCCATCTGAGACCAAAAATCGGAGCTTAATGACTGCCGTGGACTCTGTCTGATGCCTTGGCACACGGTAGGGGCACAGAAATCCTGGCTGCATGAAGAATGAGATGAAGGAAAAGACTAGTCTTTCCTATGAATGGTGCTGGAACAACTATATATTCACATGTATATAAGTAAGTAAGTAGATAGAAGATAAATTGATAGACATATACAGACCTAAATGTAAGAACTAAAAATTTTTAGAAGAAAATAGAACTTCTTCATGATCTTGGGTCATGTAATGATTTCCCAGATAAAATATCAAAAACATAACTGGTTTAAAAAAAAGAAGAAGAAGAAGATATAAGTTGAATTTCATCAAAATAAAAACATTTGTGGGAATCAGCAGGTAGCATGGCAATTAAAGGCGCTGGACTCCCACATGGCTGACTGCAGTTAAGAGTCCCAGACTGGTGGCTTGCTTTTCACTCTCTCTCTCTCTCTCTCTCTCTGTGTGTCCCTCTCTGGTCAAATTAAAATAAATAAATAAGTAAACAAATATAAATAAAATAATTCTTAAAAAAATAAAAACATTTGTGCTTCAGGGGCCAGCAGGTGGCACAGTGGTTAAGCTGCTGGACTCCCACATGGTGGACTGTCTGAGTCCCAAAACTGGCAGCCTGCATTCTCTCTCTCTCTCTCTCTCTCTCTCTCTCTCTCTGGTGAGCACACATGCCCTGTAGCAAATTAAAAAATAACAATAATGATGATGATGATGATGAGGGGCCAGCAGGTGGCTTGGTGGTTAAGGCACCTGGATACTCCCACACGATCGACCATGGTTCAAGCTCCGGATCTGGTGGCTTACCTTCTCTCTCATTCACTCTCTCTCTCTTCCTCTCTCTGTCTCTCTCTGATCAAATTAAAATAAATGAATGACTAAATAAAATTAAATAAATAATTCTTTTTTAAAAATGATAAGTATTTTTTAAAAGTTTTGTGCTTCAAAGGATAGCATTAGAATATGAAAAGAGGGAGCTAGCAGAGGTTAAGTTACCTAGGTCCCACAAGGTCAAATGTATGGGTCAAGTCCCAGACCTGGTAGCTTGAAAAACACACCTAGTGTGTGTGTGTGCATACCCTAAAAAATATTCAGAGGGTAGAATGGAAGAGAAGAGACTGTGGGAGACCAGCAGGTTGCGTGGTGGTTAGAGTGCTGGACATTTCCACATAAGCTGACCGTGGTTCAGGTCCTGGATCTGCTGGCTTGCTTCCTCACTTTCTCTCTCTTTGGTCAAATTAAAATAAATGAATGAATAAAATTAAATAAATAATTCTTAAAAAAAAAGAGAGAGAGAGAGAGAGACTGTGGAGTGGGCAGCCCCCCACCCCAATGATATTTCTCTCTCTCTTTTTCTCTGGTAAGCACACATGCCCTATGGCAAAAATTTAAAAAAGAAAAGAAAGAAGGCCAGTTTAGTAGTTAAATGAAAGTGTAGTTTAACACACAGTAAATTTTAGGATTCGATATGGGTGACAATACCAGTGGGAGCCCCACTGGTAAGATGACCGCGGGTTGTTGGGGGGGGGGGGGGGGAGTATCGCTAAACTGGATCTCTAGTAAGGCCCCAGGAACAGGGTGAGACTATGCACAAAATGACTTTTCTCACCTTCGGAGCAATGTCCTTCACCTATACTGGACACTCCAGCCTTTGAGTCACAGAGGAAAGCTGCAGCAGCAGGAAGCTGGTGATAATTGACAAACGTCCTTTTCTTAAGAATGATTTGTGCTTCCTTTTCTATCCAGGCTGCCAAGGAAGCTAGCAGTCACATGTGATGTTATATCGCAGTAAGGAAATGTTCACACAATGTATTTACTCTCTCCCTTTGCTGGGGCTCTATAATAATATAGGTTAGCCTATATTATTAGCTTCAGTTGTATACTATACACACAGTCCTCTCTACGGTTATTTTCAGCCTGCGAGTGGGGGTAAAAAGGAAAATCTTGGCTCATGTACTCTCTTTTTCCTTCTCAATTAATTAATCTTATCTTTTTAAAAAAAACTTTGTGTAGGGGCTTATGCGATCACCAGAGTGAGACACAGGGAGGGGGAAAGTGAGAAGGCACACCAACCCACGGAGGATGGTCATGCCACAATCCTTTCTTCTCCATTTCTCTTTCGTGATTATGGGTACACACACACACTTACACACACACATGCTCAGCATGTTTTTCAAATCCCTGGGTCCAAGACTCAAATTGCACAGCTGGCCATGAGAGACCCAGGTGCCTTAACCGCCATGCCACCAGCTGGCCTAATCAATCAATCTATACATAATACATCAAATGCCCACATTCAATCATAATTGTGAAAAATAAAATGAGGTAATGGAAATGAAACTGTGTCGAAAACTCTCAAAGTGACAAGGTGAGTGTTTTCTCTCATACCTGCCCCAGAGAATAAGAATTGAATGCAAGACCAGCAGATGGTGTAATGGTTACATCACTAGACTCCAACATAGTTGACTGTGGTTCAAGTCCCAGAGTGAGTGGCTTAAAACTCACGCCAGCTGTGTGTGTGTGTGTGTGTCCGTCCAAAATCCCAAGAGGAAAATAGAGGAGAAGGGATTGCAGTGTAGCCATCCCCCCAAGGGGTGAGTTCTCACTTTCTGTCTCTCTCTTTCTCTCTGGTGAGTGCACGAGCCTATGACCGTTCCTCCTAGGGGGTGATTTATTTTTCTTTTCTTTTTTTTTTTTTTTTTAAACTGTTTAGTACACTTATTATGACGGTGGGCACGGAGGAGTTAGCACTCAGAATCTCTGGCCCCAACTAGGGCTTGGACATGATCTTTTTCCTAGAGGGTGATTTCTTACTTTACCTCTGAATGTCTCTGTCTGTCTGTCTCCAATGAGTACACAAGCCCTATGGCAAAAACCTAAAAAGAGAAGAAAAAAAAAAAACGTGAGTGCTTGATTGTACTAGGTATGTCCAAATTACACCCATAGGGAGCATCAACAAATTTCTACAGTTAAGTCCATTTTGCAAGGCAGGGACATAGGACCCTTATATTTTCAATGCAAAATGGAAACAGTGAACTAAAAATGTGTGCAGTAAGTGGACAAAGGAAAAGATTTGAGAGAAATAAATACCTTTGCTCCTTAGAAAATCTTCAGGGAGATCCGTGCACAGTTCTCTGCTGGACTGCATCATGAGGTCTTCCTATGGTAAGAAAATCCAGCAGTCAGATAGGGGTCAGAGACACCAGAATTCATGAATAGTACTTTCTCTTTGAGATACTTTTTATTTTCCTTCATTTGTGATAAAGCACGTGCACACACATGTGAGGGTAAGAGACTGACGGAGAGATAAGATGAGCACCCAACAAGAGGCCTAGTCATGCCACAATCCTCTGCCTCTACGATCTTCCAGTCCTTTGGATCTTGGGCGCTCACAAGAGTACCCAGAATTCTTCAGGCTGACCAGGCAAGGGATCTGAACCACGGTTGTCATGTGCAACCAGCTTCTCTTTAGTAGTGTCTTATCACTACAGCACAGGCCAGCACTGAGACTTCTTATTTTTTGAGAGGTTTTTGCTATAGGGCACGTGCGCTCACCAGAAAGACAGAGAGAGGCAAAGAGACAGAAAGCGAGAAATCCCCCCCCCCCCCAGAAGGGATGGCCATGCCACAATCCATTCTCCTCCATCCTCCTCTCGGGATCTTGGGCACGCCCGCACACATGCCCAATGTGAGTTTAAGCTACCAGGTCCGGGACTCGAACCGCAGTCAACTACATGGGAGTCCAGTGATGTAGCAATTACACCATCTGCTGGTCCCGAGTCTTCTTTATGACTCCAGGAAATTTACTAGTAGTCACAATTAGGAACTGAAGGCAGCTGCAGATTTAAGTAAGTATAATCAATAAAACTTCTATAGCGAGTCCTCAAAAAATGCATGGAAGGGGCAAGTAGGTGGCATGGTGATTGAGGCGCTAGACTCCTACATGGCCAGCCACAGTTTGAGTTCTGGACCTGGAAGCTTGGTTTCTCTCTCTTCATATCGCTATCTGATCAGATTAAAAAATAATAACAAGGGGCCACTAGGTGGCGTGGTGGTTAAGAACACTGGACTACCACAAGGCCGACCATGGTTCAAGTCCTGGACCTGGGAGCTTGCTTTCTCACTTTCCATCTCTCTCGCTCTCTCTCTCTGTCCCTCTGGTTAAATTTAAATAAACAGACAAATAAATAAATAAAATTAAAGAATTCTTTATAAAAAAATTAATAACTATTTTTTAAAAAAAAAAAACATGGAAATGGGTACTATGAAGAAACTCTGAATACATTTCCATTCTTAAAAAAAAAAAAAAAAAAGAATTGGGACCAGCAGTTTGCGTAATGACTATGCAGCTGAACTCCCATGTAGTCGACCACGGTTCGAGTCCCGGACCCAGTGGCTTAAACTCACACTGGGCACGTGTGTATGCATGCCCGAGATCCCAAAAGGAGAATGGAGGAGAAGGGACTGTGGCGTGGCCATCCCCCTGGGGGGCGATTTCTCGCTTTCCATCTCTCTGCCTCTCTCTGTCTTTCTGGTGAGCACACGCACCCTATAGCAAAAACCTCTCAAAAGAAAAAAAAAAAAGAAAAAAGAATTATTCTATTTAACTTTATTCATTCATTTATTTTAATTTGACCAGAGACAGAGAAAGAGAGAGAGAGAGAGCAGGCCACCAGGTCCAAGATTCAAACTGTGGTCAGTCATGTCGGAGTGTCCAGCACATTAACCACCATGCCACCTGCAGGTCCCCTCCCCCTTTTGTTGACACAAAATATACTTGGACTACAATTCCATTTTTCTATGCACTTTTTGAAGTCCTTTGTGCTTTGCTAGAATTTGAGCTTGAAAAGCCAAGCTTGGGTGAGCTCTGTGCCCTAGTGGTTAGGAAGCCAAATCCCACATGGCTGCCCCTAAGGTTCAAATTCCAGTCTTGGCAGCTTGAAAAACATGCGAGGTGTTCATGCCTGTGTGCCCAAAATCCTGTTAGGGTAGGGGAAAGACGACTGTGGTGTGACCACGTCCCATTGGGGGTGCTTTCTCCAACTCTCGTCTCTCTGGCAAGCACACATGCTCTCTGCCAAAAAAAAAAAAAAAAAGGGGAAAGGAAAAGCTAAACTTCTCAAGATCTGGATAAAAATAGAGCTTTAAAACAATCAAACAAAACCCTATAAATTTCTCTGAAACAAAAAAAGTTATAATGTAAAATTTTTAAGATTAACCTTTTTAAAATGTTGTTCTTATGTTTTTGTTCACTATAAGGACATCACCAAAGAGAGAGAGACACAGAAAGAGGTAAGGTGAGAAATCACTCCCCAGGAGCAATGGCCTCTCAGGCAATCCCTCCTCTTCCATGCACTTGGGATTTTGAGCATGCACACATATGTACCTAGCAGGTTTTTCAAGCTGCCAGGTGAGGGACATGAACTATATAATTGGCCATTTGGGATTCAGCTGTCCTAACCTCCATGCCACCTACTGACTCTACTACAACTTAATTTTAATTCCATTTCAAAGGGAAATATCAGAAAATTAGATGTATCTTAGTCCCCTAACTTTTTGTTTGTTTTCTCTTTGTTTTGTTTTTGTTTTTGTTTCGCTACAGGGTCTGTGCACTCAGAGTCGTCAGAAAGACCGTGAGAAATCAACCCCTGGGCAGATGGCCATTCCGCAATCCCTTTTCCTCCATTCTCCTCTTGGGACTTTTGGCATGCACACACATGTTCCCGGAGTGATTTTCAGGTCATCAGATCCAGGACTTGAACTACAATCGGCCATATTGGAAATCCAGAGCCTTAGTAACCACATCACTTGCTGGCCCCATCCTCTTTCCTTTCTTTAATAGGGTCTCACTGTGTACCCATCAGTCTCCTGAGTACCTGGGATCCCAGGTCAGTGCCCCCACACCTGGCTCTTTTAGACAAAGTGTTGTGACTTGCAATCCTTTTGCCTCAGCCACAGAACTCTGGAATTCCAGGAACCCGGCCTTTAGGCTGGACCAGGAATCAAACCCAGGCCTTACATGTTGCCCTTGCAGGAACCTCAGAGGCTAGCAGTGCATGTCACTGCAGCTGGGCCCTAGTCTTTCATTTTCTATTAAAATGTCAATGCGGGGTACTTTCACAGAGCATGAACAAGCATCTCTCAGATACCTTCTGTATAGCACTACCACGTTTTGCAATAAGAAAGTACAAATTCTAGCACGAAGGCAGATCAAACTTATTCATAATTGTGAAAAGAAAAAGTCCTTACTTACCATAGAAGAAATGATGGAATTAGAAAATCACCACTTGGCAACTGAATCTCAAGCAAAAATCATCAATGAATGTTAAAACCATTAATAGTAGATAAGTGTTTGAATGAGAAACAAAAATATTTATATAGTCTCAGAGCATTTCCCCAAAAGATGTTTATTAATTACAAAGGAGGAAACAATAACTTCACTCTGGAGAAACCTCACAGACTCCACCTGAATCAAGTGACCAAAGCTCTCCCTACAAATGAGGTGCCCTAACACCAAATGGTTCCCAACGGGACACACGGCAAGAACAAACCTCACTTCTGTGGTAGTCCAGCTCTTAAAATACATAACCGGAATAATCATGAGGAACCACTGGATAAACCCTAACTGAGGGAAATGCTATGAAACGAATGGTCTGTACTCTTCAAAAGTGTTAAGGTCACAGGCTCAGGAACTGTCCCAGATTAAAGGAGACTAAAGAGCCAGAACAAATGAATGCCCCAAGTGCGCCTGCATTTACCCTGGACCAGAGAGTCAAAAACATTTTCTTTTCTTTAGCTACTAAAGAGAGCAGTGAGACAGTGGCCGAATTTGAACATGGTGTGTAGATGAGATGAAAGTACTTGGATCAAAGTAATATCCTAGGGGGGCAGCAGGTGGTGTGGTTAAGGCATTAAACTCCCCCATGACCACCTGCAGTTCAAGTCCCAGACCTGGTGGCTTGTTTTCTCACTTTCTCTCTCTCTGGTGAGTGCACATTGCCTACAGCAAATTAATGATAATAACAATAATCATGATAAACTAAATAAATAATAACTTTTGGGGGGAGATTTTTGCTATAGGGTGTGTGCACTCACCAAAGAGACAGACAGAAAGAAATCAACCTCAAGTGGGGATGACCACGCCTCAATCCCTTCTCCATTCTCCTCTTGGGATTTTAGACATGCACGCACATTCACCCAGAGTGAGTTTTAAACCACCGGGTCCAGGACTCAAACTGTGGTCAGCTACATGGGAGTCCAGCAACATAACCATTATGCCATCTGCTGGTCCTTAAATAAACAATTCTTTTTTAAAAAAATAATTATTTTATTTAACTTTATTTATTATTTTTATTATTTGTTTTAATTTGACCAGAGAAAGAAAGAAAGTGAGAAAGCAAGCTGCGGTGCATGCGTGCCCAAGATCCTGAGAGGAGAACGGAGGAGAAGGGATTGCGGCGTGGCCATCCCCCCTGGGGGGTGATTTCTCACTTTCTGTCTCTCTGTGTCTCTCTCTCTCTCTCTGTCTGGCGAGCGCATGCGCCCTACAGCAAAAGACCTCTCAAAAAAAAAAGAAAGAAAGAAAGAAAGAAAGCTGCCAGGTCCAAGACTCGAACCGTGACCAATCCCGTGGGAGTCCAGCGTCTTTAAGCACCACCCCACCTGCTGGCCCCTAAATAAATAATTCTTTAAAAAAAAAAAAAAAAGAATATCCTGCTTTTAGGTCAGTTCTGTGGCATAACAGTAATGTACTGCTCAAGAGAGGTGGATTCCTCAGAGCAACCGTAGTTAGAATCCCAGGTCGTCAGCCTGAACCACACCCAGCACGCATGCAAGGGTCCAGGATCTGACAGGGTGGAAGATGGAGGAGGAGGACTGCAGCATGACTAGACCCTCTGGAAGGCGGAACCCTCCTTCCCTCCCTGTGCTCTCCCTCTCTCACATGTATGTGATACACTCACAAATAAGGAAATAAAGGAAAAATCCTGATTTTGAATAATGTACTTTGGTCATGTAACAGAACACCCTTGTTTGATCGGAAATACACATTGAAATATTTAGGTATGATGTTTGCGAATAAGCTCTCCATTAAGTTTTTTTTTTTTCTTTTAGAGAGAGATTTTTGCTTCAGGGTGTGTGTGCTTGCCAGAGAGACAGAGA